AAGTCACAACACTTACTGAACCAGGATTTCTTGATCGTAAATATATTTATAAGTCGCTTGTAAATAGCTATGATTTTCAGAATGAGATTACTATGTTAAAGGTTATGGAATTACGATATCATTGCTCTCAAACACATTTATCTCTTTTCATTGATAGGTACCAAAATGTATTCTACTGTGTCACGAGCATTTTTGCATATCAGCCTCTAAAGATTAAAGAAATATCGAGGTGCCTAAACTCATAAATCATGCCCAGGCGGGGTTCAACCCAGAGTCTCAAGAAATAAGCTGGCCACCATGGTTGCTCTCTTAAAGCATTCAGTCGTTGAGAATAAAAGTACTTCTTTTTCGAGAAAGATGTAGTTATTACTGTAAACAGATAGAGTAACAAGCTGGAAATTTCCGTTTTTCCTTGGCTTTCACTATAAACGAATGAATTGTGGGGACAAATAACGTTTATTATGATATCTCCAGAATTTGAATAATTTAAAATACTTTTCTTAAATTCACTAAAGACTTCATTAGAAACCAATGAATCATTGAGACATTCAGCATCGGAAATGGTTCAATTCGTTCAAATGGTTGTGGATGAAATAGAAGAAGCTTTTGCTTAACACGCTGCCGTGTCTAGTAGCAGGGGATCAATAATACATCCAGGCAAGAACCTAGGTATATTAACGATAAAAGAGAAAAAACAAACTGGCAAATCATAGTTAGATACTATCCTTGATCCTTAAGAATAGATCAAGTCACCCCTCAAAGGATTCCTGGGAAGTCGCTTGGACTAGCTCAGCCAGAAGCGAATTCCAGCACTTGACAACTCTTAAGGAGTAGATGTCGTGTCCACAGTCCGTTCTGCTATGTTGTATCTCCAATTTCTGGGTGTTACCTTTAGGTTTGTATTAGGATTAAGCTTAAGTAGGTGTTTAAGAGGATGTCTAGAAGTGTTAAGGATACTGTAAGCCATCAGAAGGTCACCTCTAAGACGTCTATACTCCAATGGGTAAACGTTAAGTGATTGAAGGCGCTCTTCGTAAGACTTGAATTTGAGTTCCCGAACTGATTTTGTGGCTCGTCGTTGGATACGCTCCAGAGTGTCCTCATCCTTTTGGAGTGTAGGAGGGAATACTATGTTTCCGTACTCTAAATGGGGACGAATAAAACTGTTGAAGATTATGTGGAAAGTTCTCCCGTCAAACTGGCTAAAAATGCGCTTCAATGTTACCAGTGCAAGGTTTGCTCGAAAGGCATTTCTGTCACAGTTAGCGTAAGACTTTAAGTCGTAGGGTGCCAGCACTCCTAAATCTTTTTTTGACTCGAGATACTACGAGAGAGGGGTTTCTTACGTTGTAACTGTAGTATGCGACATGTCGCAGATGGACTACTTTACACTTTGAAGTGTTAAAGGTAAGTCAGTTGTCGTCTGCCCAACTTTGAAGTCTAGTCAGATCCTCCTGAAGTGCCTGTATATCCTCTTGGTTGTGTATCTCTCTCAAAGTCTCACGTCATCGTCAAAAAGTAATAAGTCTGATGACACATGTTGTGGAAGGTCATTTATACAACTCATGAAGAGAATAGGTCCTAGTACTGAGCCCTGGGGGACCCCACTAGGACATTCCATGGCGTGAGATAAATTTACGTTGACCCTGACCCTAAAATGTCGTTTTTTCAGATACGAAATGAGCCATTCAGTCAGAGGTGGTCTGATACCCAATTGTCTGAGCTTATTGATAAGACATATATGGTCAACCTCATCAAAAGCTTTTGAGAAATCAAGGTAAATGGCATTAACCTTGCCCTTACGATCAACGGTGCTTGTCCATCTGTTCACCGCAGTCAGCAGGTTCGTCATACTGGAGTAACTCCTCCTGAAACCATGCTGTTGGGGTGAGAAATAATTTAAGGCCAGTAAATGGTTATGCATACCATCGTATATCAGGGACTCCATGATTTTTGAAGGTATAGGGAGAAGAGCCGCCTGTCGGTATCTTGAAGATTCACTGCGCCGACCTTCTTTAGAAATTCGTGTGATGTGAGTCGGCTTCCGAATTTCCGGTAGTTTGCCTCGACTTAGCGAGTGTGAGAACATCACGCTGAGCGGTGTTGTCTGAATTGAAGCTGCTTCCTTCAGTATGGCGGAATGGACCATATCTGGACCAGGAGAAGTGTCTATTCTTAGATGCTGCAGCGCTCAGGTTCACTACGGAACGTCCTGTGCAGTTGCAGATGAAGCTGTCATAAGTGTAGTTGATGTGGGTCGGTTGAAATGTCTAGGAGTATTGCCCAGCCAAAATGTTAGCGGCGTCGCCGTCGTTATCGGTCGTGCCATTAGGAACTAACAGTTGGGAAACTAAAGTTTTGGCTTGACGAAGAGAGGCCGCGTAACGGAATAAGCTTTTCGAATGGATACAAATTTATCCATGAGCTTTATGTGGTATTGAAGCCTGTCTTCTCTTATAGCCTTCGTGCATATGTTCCTTATATATTTGTATTTCCCGTACGCGTTGTTATTTTCAGTTCGTTTGTATTCCGCCCAACAGTGCCTTTTGAGACTTAATAAACGAAGAATGCGGTTCTTGATGATTGTAGGTAGCTTGTGGCTTTTGGGGACTGTTTGAGGAACTGACTGCTTTGTAGCACATAAGAGCGTGTGCAGTAAGAAGTCTCAATGTGCATCTACATCAAGTTGAGGTTGAACATCTCAATCCACCTGTTGTAGATAGTCCTGTAGGGCAGACACATTCAACCGTTTGAAATTCCAGCGCTTGTTGTCCGTGGGATATCTTAGCTCACTTTTGCTGACAAAACTGAAGTTTATAACGGCATGATCGCTTTTCCTCAGGGGTGCCAGAATTGAGAGGTTGTTAATTAGAAATTCTTCGTTTGTAAAAAAGCAGTCTAAACGCGATGGTATCTGACTGTTCCTCCAACGGGTTGCCGACTTCACATTTTCGTATAATCCAAAATCCTCAGTGGGGTTGAAGAACCGAGCTTCAGTTGAGTTTTCACCTCCAATATACGTATGTTCCGCGAAAATGACTCTAGGGAGATTGAAGTCCCTCAGAATCAGGATATGAGTGAGACTGAGGCGCGTACAGCGGGATAGTCCTTCCAGCATACGACTGTCATACTCAATGTCAGCAGTGGGCTTCCTATATATGACTCCAACTAGGCACCTCGAAGTAGTAGACAATCTTACAGAGCACCATATGGATTCCTCAAGATTGTTAAACTCATGTTTGTGAACTTGGTGTACCTTCAAGCAACACCGTATGTATACGGTTACTCCACCCCCAATTCCTATTTTTCTGTCGTTACGAAACAAAGACATCCCAGGTATTTCTAGCTCCTAGTTCTTAAACTGAGAAGAAATCCAAGTTTCAGATATTCCTATAAGGTGAACCTTGTTAGTATTGCTAAGTTCACGTAGCTCATCCACTTTGTTTGTTATGTTTGCGGCGTTCATGTATAAGCATTTTATCACATATATGAAAAATACTTGGAGTTATAACATATCACATACTGAGCAAGGTTCATGTCAGCTGAATACAAGAATATCGCATGTTATACAGAATAAATATCATACGAGAAAAGAAACAAATACTGAACTGAATAATCATCACATTGAATCAAGATGGAAGTAACTTTGAACAAAACTCACAATGAACGAATCAATTTAATTTTCACTTTTCCCGTCATATCGCAAATGTTTGCTTCTTCTGAATCCGAATATACAGTTTTTCTTCAGGTCATAATGGAGTATTAACCATTTGGGTGGATGCGATACCTGTCAGTGCAACATAACCCCATACAAGTTAGTTCCCTAGATCTCTCCAGGCCTTTCGTCATAAACTCATCATCAAGACGTTTTGCTCAAAACTTAAATCAATGAGTTGGCGCCTTGCTGACTGACCACAGTACCACCCCGTGTAAAGACCAAACCCGTCAGAATTTGCTTTGCGATGATTGATTTGTTCATGATGCACAGTGTAACACCTAAAAGTCCCATCCTGGGATTAGCTGTTGCTTAGTAACCAATCGTGAGTAAAGTCGATCGTCTGACTTATCGGGCTGACAACTTTATGATTTGGTGGGGGAAAGAGTAAACGATTAGTTCACCAAAATGAAGCACCTAATACTAGTAAACTGAGATACCAGTCATAAACAGTATTTGTAGAATGGCTTTGTGCCTTCTGAGGAGTCCTAGTATTAGAGGTTTTACTATGTGAGGGGGGCGGAATATTGTTCTACGTGCAAGTTGTCTCTTTCCACCGCAGCCAACAAGGCATATGCTGCCTAAGGTTTCATTGTAGAAAATAAAGTAATGTGATGCCTGATTTATTTAAAGATATTTACAGTACTTAAAATCTGTGAGACACAGAAGAGTGAAGAGGTTATGATCACGAACAATCATGTGTATCTTAATCTTCTTTGTCATAACAGATCACAGTTACACTTCAGCTATAATCACTTTATGGTTGAACATGGAATAACACAGATACTAAAAAGTCTAAAATTTTCCCGTAGATAAAATCCGTTATCTGTGAAGTGTCATATTCGTTGGGATATCAATATGACCATTTTCTAAATCTCTTAAAGAAAAGTCCTGCACTTGGTCTAGTTCTAACAGTATTGAGCTCCACTATTCTAGTTGTTAATTTTTGAATGTTTGTTCGACTTGTAACAAATAAATCAGACTTTCAGGGTCTTTGGCGACTAAAATTATGGATCACTATACCTTAAATTCTTCTCTTACAACAAAGAGACTGGTCCAAGTCAACCAAACAGACCTCTATTTCCTGCCAACAATAGTAGAATTTAAAACTTATCGATTACTTTCTGAAATTTTTTTCTGGACAAAAATATAATTTTGTTATCATTTGAAGTGAAAATACCAAAGACTAGGTTCTGAAATTCGCAACTTCAACTATTCTACATCGATCATTGTTAGAATTAGCTTACAGATATTCCATTCGCAGACATTTTAAGTGAATGGTTTTAAAATAAGTTTCACAGTCCTGGTCTGCGAACTGGTCTTCACATGTTCTTCCCATAATGAGTACCGTCACTCTGAGATGGATAGGGGATTTAGATCAAGACAAACGTGAACAAGCTGGGTGTGTCAGTTCTTCAAGTGACCAATATCGTCCCAAAAAGATAGAACTAAAGCCTGGCCAAAAAGAAATCCGCATTGGACGTATTAACACGAAAATTCCCCCTGACTATCCAATCGAAAGCTGCATTAACAGCCGAATGATATCACGAAATCATGCAACGATAGAACGCTCGGCGAAGGGAGGTTCAATCCTCTATGATCATAGTATGAATGGGACCTACGTCAACTATACAAGAGTTATGGGTGGTGTAACGCTAAAACATGGAGATATTGTGTGTTTTGGGCATTTAAATGGCGCAAACCTTAAGCCTGGGGAGCCAGTAGCTCTCTTTTATTCCGACTTGAAGTATCGAGTAAGTCCATCAATACATTCCCTTCGTTTTACGTACAAAACCAGCAGTTTTGTTTGTCATTTTTAATTTAGTCGTCTGCTCGTTACGTCATCCGAATATTAACGAGTACCATAAGGTGCTTTCTGTCCTCGCTACTTTAGAATAAACGGTCGCTTTATTGAATTAAATTCAGTATTTAGGTTCTTCATTAACTGAGAAGTGGTGGTGCAGTTTCCGTCTCATCCGGTTATAAAAGCGTTCTCAAATTATACAAGTGAAGAATATGTTCTCCAGAAGGAAATTCGTATTGGGCATTGATTTTGATTGTGAACCATGAAGGCATACTTGAGTGATTCACTAAATGACCGTGACAATTTCCGACCCACTTTGTCGACTGCTCAATCCAAAAACATGATTAAATGACCTGAGTTACTGGGACTTGAACTTAGAATTAAGATTTACAGTTATAGTCGGGGTCTTCATGACGGTATTTATGGTGCATAGTGCCTCCAAGCATTGCGTTATGGCTGATGCCTGTTCGTGATAGAAATACCAATTTCGAACCTAATGAGTGATTATGGTTCCGAGCAGTCACTTCTAGAATCTCAAGGTTTCCCGTAGACTAGTGTTGATAATACGCTTTTCTGGACCACCTATCTGCTAACGACTCTCGATTTCATCCGACAGTGAAATGCCGTATTAATGTACGTATTCATTGAGCTCACATTTGTTCTAAGTCACTTTACTAGATGACCGTTCGAACGAGCTTTAAACCTATGTGTATATCATACGATCGGTAATGAATTACATGCTTGTGCACATCAGCTTGGTCATATGGTTCAAACAGTAAGTAGTTACTATATTGCTACTATTTTTTAAGTCTTCAGACTAGTGCAAATATAGCTGCATATAGTATGCACTGGTGTTGTAAGAAAGTTGAAAGATATTTGATTTTGTCATTATCAGTTATCTAAAGTTGCACTTAGTACAAGGACCTTGTGACTCACTGGAAGTTATTAGATTGTCTCATTATAGTCTAAAATAACGCTTTCCGTGCTGAACGTCCCCTTCCCCTGCTTAAATCGACTTATTGTACTTCGGTTCTGTTAGATTCGTAGATTCCAAAATGTGTAGGCGAAATATTTATGTTTTGCAACATTACTTCCCTCGTTAGTTAGTGTGGCTCATTTAACGGATACGGATTTCATGCGTTGATCTTTGAAGGCAGTACGTGAGAGCCAATGATACTATATGACGGGATACATAGCCAATTTAGAGTTCGCGCCCTATCATTAAGCTACCGCTTTACGATCCTAATCATGGTATTGTCTCAGTGTTTGTCACCGCTTGTTATGGTTGAGGACAAAGTGCCTAGTCCCGTACCAGTAATCATGTCATTTTAAATATCGATTCCCTTAATGTTTGATTTAAAGTTCGACTCTGTCGGGCTTTTTTTCTGACTAGTTAAGTGTTGTGTTAAACTTTCTTTACTTCACACAATTATTTCTGAATCAACGAAAAGGCCCAACTACCTTTTCTTTATACTCCTCCAAGTTCCCAGCTCTTGAATCCTCCATAACTATTTGTACGTTTACTTCACCAATTTATATTATCCTGAATCGTATCATCGATGCCTAATCTTTTCAAGCAACACTCAGTGTTGCTGCATATGCTGCTCTGGGATTAGACTTGACGATTTTATCTCGGTGCTAAAGGGATATGGTAACTGCTATACATACGTGCCGGGTTCTACTTCGTGACTGACCGACCTTTTTTAGTGTAGTCCGTCTGTCAGCCAACAGTGCAAATTACACGGCATCACAGATATAAGTGTGGTATCTGCTAACTTAAGGTAACAATGCTTTATTCGATTCTAAGGACAATTGTACTTTGCGTTTTTTTAGAAAACTGGAGTCGTTAGTAACGTTAACGAACAGTTATAAGTGCGTAAGTTGCCGTTGCTAATAATCAGTGACTACTCTTGCAGTTAATAACAAAATTTTATGCTATATATATATATATATATATATATATATATATATATATAGTTCTCTTAATTTTGTATGTTACTATTTCCTACTAGTGTACTTCCCTATGTCAGTTTTTAAACTGTATTCTATATTTACTAGGTGGAGCTAAGTGATTCCCCAACTAAGGAAAATGTTGTAACTGGAACAGCCAAAAAACGCAAGTCGTATCCGGCTCAGCCAGGTTCAACAGTGTCCTCTACTCAACGTTCTGATGGGGAAGATGATTCTATTGGATCTAGTGACGAGTCCACGGATGCCAAACGACCTAGAAGTAATACAACTTCAAGTGCACAACGCACAGCTAACCGTCAAAAATTCAAAAAGCCTGCTAGTTCAAATCGTCATAAGGTAGATGAAGAGGATGATGGAGACAGTAATGATGATGCTGATGATAGCTCAAGCAACAAACGATTAAGTTCTGCAGGCTCCAAAACCATCAAAAAACGTTCAAACGGTACGGACAGAGTTAAAAAGTCTCATTCTAATTCTGTTTCACGCAAGTCTGGTGGAACAAAACCCGGTCATATACATAATAAAGAAAAACGCCGTTCTGGAAAATCTAGCAAATCTGGAGGTTTCGATGCGGAAGATGATGCTGGTGGGGGTGATATGTTTCATTATGACAGTGAAGAGTGTTCAGCTAGACCATGCAAGCAGCCTCAAGATATAGCTATAGATTGGATTCAATGTGATCGTTGTACTCTATGGTATCATCAAGTGTGTGTGGGATTAAAGCCCAGTGAAGCAAATGTAGAAACTTATTATTGCCCTTATTGTAAAAAATAACTGTCCTAATCGGGGTCGGATAGGTTACCTACTTCTGATCACCTTTGTCCGTGTACATAGTAAATAAATGAAATGAATTTTACTCCCAGATGTCAAAACTGAGAACGATCCTGCCAATTTAACCAGTTTGTTGATATTTTCATGTTCGCATTTGGATCGATCTCATTCATTTATCTTTCCATCAGATATTGTGACATTCTTTTGACTCATTACTTCTTTCTTGTGGTTTAACCCTAATGTAACTTTTCAAACAGCTATTCTAATTCGTGATTTATGTGAATAAAATTACTTGAGCATCTGTTTGTCCGTTACTCTTTTGTATACTGACTTATAAAGTTATATGTACATACATTAAGTAAAAAAACATTGACTCTAGTCTTTTATATTCTAATTTCTATTCGATACAGGTTTACTACTTTGTCATCTTTATCTGAGTAGTTGCATCACTGCTGTTGAACATAAAACATTTCTTGCTCTAGGATATCAGCGTTACCAACAATTGTTTTCCTCATCTTCAGTCTTTTATAGTTACGTTTATTGACTTTCATACTTTTACACTGCCTGTTCACTGCTCGTAATAAATAATATGGTATTCAATCAGTCTGTTTTGCACTTTATCTGAGTATATGTATAAATTTTGTCTGCCTATTAGTGATCGTTCGTCCTGATCTTAATGCTGCTTGTTGCGTATATATTTACGCGCTGAGAATCCTATTATGATATCATGTGCAAAACAATAAAAATTCCAGATCAGCGTGTTCATTTTCACTTGTAATCAGTACCACTTGGTTTCCCCAGTATAGTCACTGCACCTCTTTTCTTTATCACATGCATTCCTATCCCTTTTATTATATGCTATTTCTATTCCTCATGATCCTCTACCCTCTAGATGGTTTGGTTCAGTACGAATAAATCTCTAAATCGGACATCAGATATATATTCAAAAATGAGAATCTTAGTGTCGAAATGTTAGTGTGAATATTACGTGGTTATGAAGTCGGTATTAATTCAAGCTAAGAGATGGGACTTCGGTTTGGGCACCGGGGCAGTATCACAGCCCTCACACATAACAAATGAGATGTGTGTGGCGCATATGTTTTTGGTGCCTCCTTGGACCAATATCTATGTGTTAAAATAAATAAATAATACTGTGGAGATCTTAGCATAACCTATTCGCACTTCATGTTACGAATCCGTTTTGAAATTCCGGAATCACTGGTTACGAACTGTAATTGTATCTAGGGTCTAGATTTCTACTGGAGGATGAAGTATCAAAGGATTCGTCTAATCATTGTAAAGATTAGTTAGTACAACGATTATTTCTTGTTCCAATCTAAGGCGTCGTGACCGGTAGCAAATTCGAGCATCCTAACTAAGGGTGATGAGTCATCCTTTGGGTATACATAACTAGAGGTCTTATTTTTAGGTGTTGTAGTGGCACGTTGATAATAGTTTATGAAGTCACTGAATAACATTTTGAACTACGTAGGTTACTGCATGGATTTCGGGGAATAAGATATTGATACTTCTACATTATGCCGCTAGGTATATTTGGTTCAGAAAGTTCGCTTGGTTTTTGCCAGTCTGAGCCACCTGTAGCGTGGTCGATATGTCCGTCTGCCAACCAAAGAATGACCACATTTCTAATTAGTTCGCTTTATTGCTGTTAAACAGTAAAAAGTAAAGAACATTCATAGGTTACCGGTATTTCATCATGTGTGTTCAAAGCTTTGTTCACGTATTTTGGGATCACTGAGTTTAGATGCAGGGCACCTGGTAAGGTTGATAAGACTGAATGTATCGATTTAAGTGACGCATTATGTATGGCCAAACACCGTATACCTCGACGGACGACGTTTATTGTAGGTGTAAGTTGAAATAAGGGTAGAGAGCTCCAAAACAAAAGGTGTTACAAAGGTCATGGCGTGAGACGTATCGGTAGATGCAGACTACATGGTTGGGGTCTGTGCGATTTCTGTAACCTCTGGTTAAATACTTGCGTAACATGGCTCGGAATCGATCACAGTGGCTCAGATGCATACCAAACAGACAAGTTGATCCTACAAACCAAGTAATATGAAGTAATCTGGTTTCGTTCCGTGGGTTTTTATGTGGATGTTATCGTCTAAAATTCCATTTTATCTATTTTTACCCTGTAGTTACGAGGCTTTCCATCAACCCGATATGACGTTATATCTCATGCTAGATGTTAAATTCAATGAGTTTTACAAAATACTCAGAAATTTATCACTTGTTTTGTTTATTACCTTTGGTTGCTTCTGAATTATGTACACATTCACTAAATTATTGATTAATTAGTGCCTACTACTGCTAGTTCGGTCTATTCAAATTTTACTTGTTGACCAGTCAAGTAAATCGTAAATAATATTGTAATTTTAATATGATTTCTGAATCAATAGTTGAAGCTGTAGTGGATCCATTGTTAGTGCTTAAATCAATTTTCATCTATTATCTTAAGTTTCTTTCTTACATCGAGCCAAATCAGTCCTTGTTCAGTCATGCGAAAGTCAGTCAGTCCCAACGTAGAACCTGCCATACCACATCAGCACAACGAGATGAAATTGTTAGAGGAAATCCCAAAGTAGTAGACAGCAACAGTATCAGTGGTAGTAGGAAACGTTAGGTTCCGAAGATATAACTCGAGAAAATATGAATTAGTGAAATAAAAACGGAAGTTATGAGGCATTCAGAAGCTTATAAACAAGGACAACACAAAAAATGGATGCACCTGTGCCATGGAAAGTAACCAGTTGTGTCTGCAGTCATTATATATAACAAAGTGGTTTAATAAAGTTTTCTTCTACAAATTGACACTGAGTATTCTCGTACTCAACACCAAAGATAGCAAAATACCTGAGAAAATGTTACATTTATGTCCAAATATAGTGGTGGTGAACAAAATATCCAATTACATTGCTTAAATTCATTTTTCCCGTTTTTAGTTAAAAGAAAACTATATAGCTGCTTTCTATGCGAATTGGAATATGATTATTATTATACAATACAAAATCAGATATTAAATTGGTAATGATGTTTACTTGTATTTCCACATAGCTTTTTATTTCATAGATTAACGAAGTTTTCCACTGAATATTGTTTAATGCTTGTTTTAGGATGTTATCGAGTCTTATTTAGAATTGAAATTACACTCACTTCGTTCATCCGATTCGAAGTCAATAAATCCTCATACTGTAACAAAAGTGCAGCCACTTGATGATCATGTGAATTTATGTGAGTTTGTTAATCTTTTTTTCGGTTAAATTTTTCCTGGGAATAATTTTAATGAGATCATGTAGAAAAATATTCCTCAGTTTATTGTAAATCAATATTGATTGAACCATCCCAATAAATTTAAAGTTGAAGACTGACATCAACTGAAGAACCATTGAACATTGAAGGGAACTGGTTAGACAGCTTTTTTTCAGTTTAGGATTTCTGAATAGTATTGAAATCACCAGTCGACCCAAGTCATACAACCGTTGGAAATTAGGAACAATAGAACAGATGTTTCGCTATGTTTATGGAATTCCTCTTCCGTGCTTATCCACGACCCTACCGTAGATTGAGGCCGGAACCTGCTATAGCCAGTATAGTTCTACTAGGACATCACGACAGGTAAGTTTTAATTAGAACTTTGGAGTCTCATGCCATTGACATATTCTGTCTCATAAACGTGTATACAGAAGAACGCATAAGTAACTGTCTATTAGAGTCCAATCTAGGAGATTCTGTTCTTCTTTTGAACTTAATTCAATATCTATCCCTATGAGGCCACGAGAATTAGCAGTCAAATATCCAGATACGTCGGTTCCTTACATTGACTAGGTGAGGTCAAGGAAATGACCATATTTAGGCCGTGTGTGAAAAATATAAACTAATCAAGGCAATTAGTAAATAATTGATAACAATGTAATGAATGAAACAAGTAGTTAGCTTCACAGATTGATTCATATCAGCTAGTTGATGAATCATTATGGAGATGTTTCGTCCCAGTTTGTGACTCACAATTATGCATCCACTGAAAATTGGAATAATTTATTTCTTTTTCCAGTTAATGTTAGAAAATGCCAAGAAATTCCAATTTAGATTGAATTAGATAATTAGTGTTCTTTTGTTTTTCGTGATTTTGAAATTGACTTCACTCACTGTAGTGAGAAATAACTTGACTGTACTTCAACGTTCCATATTATTCAACATTACAGTTCAGTGTAATCCTTTCAATTGTTAGCTTATCATTAGTTGACTGTCTTTTCTATTATTAACTGTACCCGTGTTATCTAAAAATGTAATACTGACTGTTGTATTTTAATTAAATATCATAACTAATTTACTTATTATTGTGATTTTTTTAGCCAATATTACATCCAAATCAAATATTGTTTCCACACCTTTACCTTCTTCAATTTTCTATGAACCTTGGCATTTTATGTGGAAATTTATTAGAATGAATCCAAGTGAGTGAATTGTTGATTAAGTGAATTTTTAAAAATAAAAATAACTGAATTCACACCAGTTTACAGACTTAATCTGGTTGATTAAAATTATCTTACATATTAAGTCGATATAACTATGATATTTTATCACCTGACATAAAACGAAATTATCTCAGTAGTTAAAGTACTTGAATTTCAACCAAATAGGTTGTAGTTTTGAACATCGCCTCATGTATTTCAATTTGATCAACTTGTTAATATCACTAGTTTTACTAAATATACAAATGTGTGCTTACAAACTAAGTAGTTAGAAACTTTTACTTGATGATTGGGCAACATAAGAAAAGTAATTGAACAATAAACCACTATCAACATTGTTTCAATGTAATATTAACATTTTTATGTTTGTTTTAGATTCAAAAAGCAAATAGTTTATGGAATTATTCTATAATACAAACGGACTGATAGGTCACTTCCAAGTTTATTTATGTAAACTCTGCCCTCAACATTGCAGGACGCGTACCAAGTTGAATAAATACTCAATGGAAAGCAATGATATATTTCCATAAGTTTGTTTTTCTCATTGTATTTGTTAGTGAAATCTAGATTGGATTAGAGCATATTCCACGTAGGATTATGTTAGAACACGATGATTGGCCTGTTTTTAGTGAATCAGTGCTAGCAGATTAAGTGATGAAGACTCCAGGTTCTTCTTGTCTGCAAATTATAAATATACTAACACATTTTGTTTTGGGATATAATTACGTTCCCGTTTAAGCTGCGTTCCGATTTCGGAGACCAGTCTAGTAGTGTCCGTCAAATACTAGGCAATAAAAGTAACCAGGTTGAATAAAGAAGATGAACAGTATTACAGAAAGATTTTAACAAGATTATAATATTTATACATTGTATGACTATGAAAGATTCACCGAATCGTTTAGATACTAGTTGACACTAAACTAACTAGGGTTGTTTGAATGAGATCCATTCGTGTCGTTTCGTACCCTATAGTATATATTTCACAAATCCTATCATTTCATTCAATTCAGCTGTTCTTTGTTTTCATTTCAATAATATTTTGTCCGTAAATTTACTTATCATTTGACCAATAAATCTTAAGCTAAAAATGAAAATGCCTGAGAAATATTATGTGGCGAATTATCCTGTGGCAGCCACTTAGCATTCGCCACTAAGATAGGGTCCTGCAATCTGGATTTCTAACTCCAATCAATTTGCGACAATACATGATCATAACCTATTCTGACTATTGACGTTTGTCTCACGGCTGACATGGCTCAAGTTCACTAAAACTCGGGGAACCACTTCTCGAAGTTAATCACTAGTAAGCACATAATTATTTTTTTAGCATTGGGGTTGTGTGCACATTCCTGAGGAGTCCCATACTGGTATGATACAGTTGTCCAGTGCTCCTTGGTTTTCAGTGGATGTCTGGTTAAAGTTACCCCATGATGTGTAAACCACGAGATTCATTAATGTGGCTGGGGTATCCGCTACGTTTTCGATGTTCGCTTTTTTTCATACCTATCACTTTGGGTCATTTTTCCGTTTACTTAATGGATAACAGCTGCAAATTGGAGTGTATATTTCGCCAAAGATGTCATTTTAGGCGTATGAGTTATCTAGAATCATCTGCTATTTACGTGTATATGTTGACTAACTACTTTAGTTCACATTAGAATCATGGCGTAACTAGTATATTTTTTAAAAAGAAATCAGGCATCAAGTTCAGACAGAGATATGTACAGCATTTAATCAAACAAGCCTTTTCTCATAAAAAAGTAGCACGTTTATGCTGACGTAGATTTTAACTGCTTGCTTTTTGTATCACACATTTCTTAATTATTATATTTTAGTCTATGGAATGGGCGGTAAAACTTTACCACTGAAATCTATATTATTTATGGATCCTAAGTATATTCCACCTATTCATTCAATCTCAAAGATTGATAATACAAATCTACCTTCTACTGATTTGGATTTCTGCTATGAAGCTCTGTTGTTTGTGACACAGGCTTATGAGACTGTTGTACGAGTAACTTTATTTAAGGACTCAAAAACAAAGTAAGTTGATACTTTTATGCCTTTTAATATCTTAAACAATCTTAAGTGATATATTTTCTAAGAACCATACCAAGTTGAGGTATTTATGTTTTGTTACGCTTTAGAAATAGCACCAAATCGATTGGTAATATATTTAGTTTTTTTTCTCGTCAACATTTAGATATTTGTAATTCATTTGCATTGTTTGCTTGGATTTTCCGATTGATGTTTGAAACTGCCATTGATCAGTCTATTTTGGGTTAGGTACATCTTGTGTGGATTGCCTTGTTGTTTCCATTAAGCCATAACCATTTTAAGCCGAGATAGATAGTTACTAGCACTGGGATCTAGAATGCATGTTCTGTCCTATTTGCGACTCAATTGGATACACCTGAATCCCATAGTTGTTATCTCATATTTGTTACTCCGGGACTCACCATTGACACCTCATGGTGAAAGCCAAGATTTTTCGGAAGTCACGAGGATAATGTACCTTCTAATAGCCACAGCAACAATTGATATAGATACATGGAATGTTCGGAAAATGTGGGACACTGGGAGGACCAATCAAATAGCTGCGGGAATGAGAAGATACAACTTGGTGGTGCTTGAAATAAGTGAGATCCATTGGACATAAGCTGCACATAAAAGATGAGCTTCGGGAGAGATGCTGTTTTACTATAATCATGAAGAAGAAAGTACCTCACGCACACAGAGCTGCAATTATGCTGTCCAGAAGAGCACTTATATGATGGGCATTTCATGGATCCTGAATCATCACAGAATTCTTCAAAACAAAGGTGATTATTACAATGAATTTTATACGCCTACTAATGATAACAAAAAAGATGTTTGAAACCAGTTTATGAAAGGCCACAACCGATCGTAACGGAGTGTCCAGGAGTGGATCTGAACATTGTGGTGAAAGACCCGAGCACAGAAAGTTAAGGCACAAACTAGATACACAGGAGCAAACAAGAGTATAAATAGGAGCATCGAACCTGATAAGCAGAAATACGTGGGAGACCTAGCATTGACAGAGGAAAAAGCTGTAAGATAAGAAAATATTAAACCGCCCCATAGGTGTTGCCTCACCAACGATTGGAGAAATCAGCATGGCCATCAGATAAACCAAGAGTGGGAAAACAGCAGGACCAGACAAAATACCAGCTGAAGTCAGACATAGAGGTGACTGTGAAGATACTCCAATTTTGTTCAGAAGGTTTTGGGAGGAGGAACAAATACCAACAGACTGTAAAGAGGGATATCTCATCAAGATACCAAAGAAAGTAGATCTCAGTAAGTGTGAGGACTGCAGAGACATTACATTACTATCAATACGAGGTAAATTTTTTGACAATGTTGCTGATCCAAATGAAAGATTTGGCAGACACCCAACTTCGAGATCAACAAACTGGCTTTCGTACGTGGTCTATCCACGCATCGATAAAATTACGACACTCCGGATCATTGTTGAGTGGTCAGTTGAATGAAACTCATCACCGTGCATGAGATGACATTTGGTTGTGTAGATGAGAAAAGATTATAGAGCCTTCTTCGAAATCATGGTGTATCTGAGAAGATTGGCACCATTATACGGAATTCGTACTACCGACCACACTGCAAAGTTTTGCATGTAGAGCAGCTGACAGTTGGTTGGCTGGATTATGTAGACATCCATATCTGAGGAGAAGCGCTGAATACATTTGAGAGTTCGGATGCATCTAGACGATTTGGGCTTGCAGATGACCTAGCTCTTCTATTCTGTACACACTGAGACAACTAGTGTAGTAGTAGCCTCTGTATCAGAAAGCCTCATTATACTCAACTTGAAAAGCAAGGTAATAAACTACAACACAGAGAACACTAACGCAATCTATTTGATGGAGATGCTTTGACAGGTGTGTAAAGGTTTACGTACTTGGGCAGTACCATCTATAAATAAGGAGGCTTCGATGCAGATGTTAAAACACTGATTGACAAAGCAAAGACAGCATTTTCATGGTTGAATAACTTACGGTTCTCAGAACAACTGTTAGTCAACATCAAAAGCAGGATCTCTAATACAAACGTCAAGACAATTCTGTCGTAAGTAGATGGGACTTGGTGAATTACTACAACCATCATCATAAAGTTACAGATATTTTAAACAGTTGTCTATGCAAAATACACCAGATCTGTTGGATGGAT